CCTGGACCCACCCGCCTCGGGGACCCCTCCAAGGGGCTCTCCCCTTCCCCGGCTCCAAGAGCCGGCTCAGCAGATCCGCTCCGGGCCGGGAAAGAGGGGGAGGGTTTAAACCACCCCGTTAGACCTTTATAAGGCAAAAGCCCCGCGGGGCCAGGCCTCCAGCATCTTTCCTCCCAGCTGCCTTGGGATTGTTTGCGGAGCACAGAGGAGCCAAAATTAGCCCGTGACAAAGGCGCTGCATTCCCACAGCTCCCGCTGCCCGGGGATGGGGTGGGGGCTGCTTCAGATGGCGTTTGCTGCAGGCTCAGGTTTCATCCTCTGCTGGGACCCGGACTGAGGAGGAGGGAAGGGCAGGCAAAGGGTGGGGTAGTGGGACCCCTCGATTTGGGGCTTCCCAATCGGTTCCAGAGCTCCAGCAGTGCCTGGGGGGCTGCGGCAGGGGAAGTGGCAGGAGCCTGGGATCTTCCATCCCTCCTCCCTGGCTGACATGATGGGGATGTTTCAGGTCTGCATCTCCAAGCCCAGCTCACAAGCCACAGGGTGAGGGGGCTGTTTTATCAGGTACCACCCGAGGTTGGGCATCACTCTGAGCTCCTGGCGGGTGTGAAGGATCAGGACCTGTCAGGGGCAGAGCAGTGCTGAGGCCAAATTCAAAGCAAAATAATATCCCTGTTACTGAGAGCCACTGATTGAAGGGTCCCCACGGGCTGTCACGGAGGGGATGGATGTCAACAGAAAATTCCCAGAGGGAGGTCAGACCCACCCAGGACCAAGTCCCCAGGGACAGCTGTTTGTCCCTAAACGTCCCCGTGACCTACAGGTCACCTGTGTTTGGTCTCTTCCGAGTGGCCCCCCTGGCATGTGTTTAGATGGATGGGGCAGTTTCCCTCTCTGGACATTCCAAGGCCCTGGAGGCTGTTGGAGCTTCCTCATCGTTGGACATCAGCCTCACAAATGTGGCAGGGGCTTCCACGTCTCCCCTCTGACTTTGGGAGAACCACAATGGCCCCTGGCTCCTCAGAGTCTTGGGACCCCAAATTCAAAGGTATCTGGCCCCTGTGAGCAGTTTAGTTGTCCCACATGAAGGCAATCTGCCTGAAGAGACGGACTTGCTGCAATCTCTTTCCCTCCTCTGGAGCCTTTCCCACCCATCCCGTCCTTTCCCTCTCCCAAGCACCGTCCTGGTTTTGTCAACCCTGGTGGAATTCACACAATCCCCAGGGCATCCCAGACTTAGAAACAACAGCTGAGCCTCTGGTGTCCTTTGGGAACCACCTTCCAAACAAGTCCATCCCAGCCCTCAGCTGCCACTCCCGGAGCCAGCCCCCAGTGCTGGGCAGAGGGCAGGGGACCACCGGCTGCCTCAGGGACAGAGGATGCCCCACAGACTCACCATGGGGTAGGAGAAGGTTTTCCCTCAGAGACAAGGGGACATTGAGGTCACCTCCTCCCAGCAAGGCTGGCAGGGTCACGCTGCAGTGAAATCATGAGGGTCCCTGGGACTGGTCCTGATGAATGGTCCCATCTGGGTGTTCCTCCTGCAGATCATCTGGCAGATCTCACCCCTCATGAGCTGCTGGAAGGATCCAGCCTGTCCCACCTGCTCCGTGGATTGGTGAGAGCAGGGCTGAAAACCTCTGGAATGTTCTCCAGTAGCTGATGCTTTCTGCAGCCCTGGGAAGGATTCCCTCACTCCTCTGCATCTGTGAGTGAGTCCCACCAGACCTGGGTAATGTCCCGAGGCACCAAAGCAGAGCAGGCAGTGGGGACAGCCATGGAGATGGAAAGTGGACACATGTGGTGGTCACAGCCACGCTGCTCCACCTCCCTGGGGCTCCCTCTCCAGGACACACCACCAGGACACTGTGGAACCCCCCCTGCAATCCCTGCAATCCCTGCCTGGACCCCCCTCAGCACCCCAAGCTCCGTGTTTCGATGACAGCATTTCTTCCTACACCCAAATCCAAGAGGACTTCAGTGGAGGTGACCAAGACCCCCCCCCAGCAGTGGTGTGGACATCCCGGCCCTCTGCTCCCCTGGAGCGTGGGCACACAGACATCACAGGGCTCTGGGAAGCTCTGCAGCCTGGCTGTGGGCAGGTGTTGGCTTCCAAACCAAAATCCAGTGATTTAGGAACTGCAGTTGGGGATGGTCAAAAACGAAATAATTTCAGGAGCATCTGAAGGAAGTCGCACACATGACCCGAAGCTAAAAAACCAGAACACTGCTTGCTACGGCTGTGATTTCCTTTCCTTTTCACTTTTATCTGAGGAGAGACCACCCACAAAGTCAGGGATGGTCACTGGAGAAGCAAGGCAGTAGCAGCCTCTCCACAGGGCACACGGTAGTGGAGGAGGTACACGTGGCCTCACCTGCCCAAAGCACTGGCACCATCACCCCCACTGCCCTCCCCGGCACTTGGGAGGGGTCCAGCCAGCCCCAAAATCTGACCCTAAACCCAGAGCTTGGATTTCATCGGGCGGAAAAAAAAAAAAAAAAAAAAAAAAAAAAAAAAAAAAAAAAAAAAAAAAAAAGGGCTCTGAAGCTCCTCCTTCCCCCCTCCCCTGCACTGACCGCACCCCCACGGTGCTGCAAGGAGGGTGCCAGTCCCTGCCCCGCTGGGTGCTGGCAGAGCCCCTGCCCCGGGCAGAGGCACAGGGCAGCCCCCAGCCCGGGCAGAGCAGCCCCAGCACCGGGGCATCCTCGGAGCAGCGCGGGGAGGGCCGATGGAGCGGGGGCACCGAGGGGCTGGGAGCAGAAAAGCCGGATTTTCAGGCTCCTGCCTTTGAACTCCCGCAGCTCCGGGGCACCTCGCTGCATTTTGGGGCTCTGCACTGAGCCCCAACTCTCCTTGGGGGGCCCTGGCACTGGGATCCCCTGGCCAGCCCTTTATTGAAGCAGGAGTCTGAAGCTGGAGGGGCTGCAAGGCCACATACCCACCAACCCCGCGTTTTGCCTCAGCTTCCCCTCCTCTGGGGGCATTGGAAACACTGCCCGTGGTCCTCTCCCTGCTGGTCAGGCTGGCTGGGAGCGTGCTGGCACAACATCCCTGGCGCTGGGGGATGCACCACCTGCCAGCCCGTCCCTGCTCTGCCCCCTGGCCGAGTCGCTTGGCTATTTATTTGTTTTTCAGTCTCTGGGTGACCTTTTCCTCTGCATGAGAAACTCAGCCCTCGCAGGCGGCGGCGGGTGAAGCCGTCCCACCCCCCACCCACACGGCTGCTGGCTCTCATCTCACCCCCTGGCCCCAGCTCCCAGGGTCAGGAATCTGCCCAGAGAGGATGGATTGGGCAGATGTGGGTGTCTGCACACAAGGAACTTACACACACACACATCTTGACCATTTTCTCCCTCCCCTTCCCCCCCCCCCCCCCCGTTTGTTGCTGGCAGCTGGAAAACAAAATAGCTGTCCACGGTGAGCAAGAAAGCAGAAAAGCCAAAATTGGGGAGTCACACTGCCCAAAACTGGCAACTTTGGAAACTCCCCTTGCACTGGGTGCTCCCCACCCCTGGTACCCTCCCCAGCACAGGCTTGGGATGCTCACAGGGCTTTGAATGAGCCTCTCTGAATGCCCTGACTCAGGGAGCTGGAGATTTAAGAGGATCCCTGCCATGGAAATGCCGTGAGAGCACCTGACAGCCTCACTTTCATCCAAAATGTGTGTGGGGACCTGTTAAGGGGGCTGGCCCACACAGGGCTCCACACCTGGAACATCTCCTGTGGGTGGGGGACCAGGTCCCCCCATCCCTGGAGCCCACCGTGTTCCTGCCACAGCCCTGGGGTGTTGCAAAGCTCCACCTGCGCTGGGTTTGGGTCCAGCTTCATCTGTGTGCCCCCCCACACTTTACTTACAAGTCAGCGGGCTCTCAGCAAATACATCTCTGAGGACCAGGTGGCCAAGAAGGCTTCCTTGGGTGGAAAAACACCCAAACGCCTGTTCCAGCCCTGAGCTCGCACGGCGAGCAGGCTCCAGCCACGCCACCATCCCTCCCCGAAAGCCACCTCGGCGCTGCCCTGGCGCGGGGACAGGACCCCGCGGGCCCCGTGGGGTCTGGCAGAGGTGGCTGGCGTGCAGGCAGGGGCCGGCAGCCCCAGCCCGCGGGGACAGGGCGCTGCTCTCCTCGGTTCCCACGCGGCCGGGCAATCTCCGGCAGGATCGGCAGCGCCCGCGGCCGCGGGGCCGGGGCTCAGGCTCCGGCTTGCGGAGCTCGGTGGCTCCAGGCGCTGCTGTCTGCGCTGCCTGTCGGGGCAGGGCCGTCCCTTCCCCTGCCTGCACAGCCGGAGCGCCGCTCCCGCGTCGCCTGCCCGCAAACCACCGTGGGAATCCCCGGGGACGCGGGAGCAGCGGGATGGGTGACCGGAGAGGGCTCGGGGCGGCAGCGGGGGGGGCTTTGGAGCCCGACTGTGGGATGCTGGTTTAGGGGGATGCCAACAACCAGCAAAGCTCTGTGCAGGATTTGTGCTCTCCTGTACCCTGCAGGGTCCCGCAAATCAAAGCAACACCAGGGTAAGAAGCAGAAAGTCCTGTTTGGGGACGCTTTTGGTACAAGGAATGGGGGTCCCCAGTGCCCTCCCAGTGTTCCCCATCAGCTCAAGGACATCCCAGGGCAGGACAATGTCCAGCAGCACGGCAGTGTCACCGCACCATCATTTCAGTTCCCTGAAGGGTCCCTGTGCAGCAGCTGCAGCTATCCAGCCCCTTCTCAACATGGGGGCTCAGGGGGAGCTGTGTCCCCAGCCACATCCATCTGTCCCAGTGTCACTGTCACACAGGCAGGGCTCCCCATTCCACTGCTTCCTTCAGGCACAGCCTCATCCATCCCCTGTCCCGCAGGAGAGGCCCAGATGTCCCCACCAGTGCACCAAGGTCCTGCACATGTCAGCTGAAGGGTCCCTGGGCAGGGATGTCACCTCCTGCCATGGAGGTGTGGGAGGGTCAGTGCCTGCACTGGCCTCACCAGGGCCACCGTCCTTGTCCTTGGGCTGCACAGCAGTGACCTCACTTGCCCGCTGGGATCCCGTTCTCCCCACCTCGTGCCGAGCCGAGAGCCATCTCCATCCGGCTCCTGGGATGCTGCGTGTCCATGGGCTGTCCCACCGGGGCTGTGTCGAACTGTGCCACTGCGGAGAGAAGGCGTCTGTCACCAACCTGGCCAGTGCTGGGACATGGGGCAGGGCCCAGCCCCGAGGGGACTGGGGAGCAGAGCCAGCCACCATCCCCATCCCATCCCACGTGCAAGATGGAAAAGGGCCCCATGACCCTCAGGCCACCCCAGATGGAGGGTAATAAAAAGTCCCTCTCCAGGGGTGTGTGGGGATAAAAACCCATGGGGGCATCCCAGCCAGTGCGGGGGGACACGGGACCACCACCCTTGCAGACCACCCCAGTCCGCGGGACCTCTGTGATTCCCCTGGGAGAGCCGAACCCCTCAGACACGGGACCTGGTGGCCGGGGACCTCCTTCCCCGGTGTGTCCTGCACCCCGACCCGCGGTGCAGCGGCGGGTCCGGTACCTGCTCGGCAGCTGTGCCGGGCGCGGACGACCTGGATCGCCTGCTGGTTCTTGAAGCGCACGAGGCCCATGGTGATCTCGGCGTTCCAGCCCGGGTCCTCCTGGGCGCAGCGGAAGTCGATCTCGTGGCTGTCGTCCATCACCACCGTGAAGTAGATGTGCCGCTCCTTCCACTCCACGCACTCCACCGCCTTCATGCGGGCGAAGCTCAGCTCCTTGCGCCGCGACCCCTTGGGCTCGAAGAGCTGCAGCCCCTTCTCCGTCAGCAGGCACCGCTTCTTCTTCCAGAGCTGCAGCAGCCCCCCGCTCCGCTTCTCCAGCACCCCCTCCCTCAGCACCTTCTCGGGGGTCATAGCGGCCCCTCGGCCCTCCAGGATCCTCCGCACCTCGCGTGGGCTCAGCCGGGCATCACCCGCTGGGGGATTCCCAGCCCCTCCACGTCAGAGCTGAGTTCCCCGGGGCCGGGACCCCCGCGGTGGCTGCGCTGCCCCCCGGGGCTCTCCCCGCCCTGCGCTCCCGGTTCTCAGAGGGGATGAGCGGCGGGGTGCCCCATGCCGGCCCCTGTTGCCGGGGCTCTGCTCCCTGCCCCGTGCAGCGTGTGGGATCCCGGCGCCGCGCGCCCCAGGAGCTGTCGCTACATGCCCGGCCGCTCTCCCACTCGCATTCCTCCCGCCTCGCCTGGCCCCTCCTGCGCTCAGGATCCCTTCACGCCCAGGCGAAGCCCGGCCAGGCCCGGCACAGCCCCGCTTCACCCAGGAGGTTCTTTTGGGGTGCCCGTGGGCAGGCGCTGCCCCAGGGCCCTCGTGTGAACAGGCAGGGTGTGGGATGGGGCTGCACGGCAGCAGCGCAAGGGCAGGGCTCAGGGACTCCTGCACGGCAGCCCAGGCGTGGAGTGCAAGGCCAGATGGGGTTCAGCACCAGCTGTTGTGGGTGCAGCACCAGCTGTTGTGGGTGCAGCACCAGCTGTTGTGGGGTGCAGCCCCACCGGCACAGGGCTATAGGGTGCAGTGCCAGTGGGCACAGTGGGCTGTGGGGTGCAGTACCAGCTGGGCAGGGGACCCTGCATAAAATGCCAGCCAGGAAGGGGATACAGAGTGCAGTGCCATCAGGGTTGGGGGGCTGTGGGGTTCAGTGCTAGCCAAGAAGGCACAAGGGGGTGCAGTGCCAGGGCAAAAGGGTTACGGGGTGCAGTGCCAGCAGGGGCAGGGGGCTATGGGGCTCAGGGCCAGCCAGAGCACGGGGTTATGAGCTGCTCTGCCAGCCAGGGCAGGGGGTTATGTGGTGTAGTGCCGGCTGGGACAGGGGCTGTGGGTGCATCACCAGCCAGGCAGGGGCTGTGGGGACCACTGAGTGCAGCCCAAGGGGAGAGTCAAAAGCAGACAGCAGCAATGGGAACGACCCTTGACACCCACCACCCACCCAGCCACGCACCCAAGGGTGCTGGGCTACCCTCAGCACACAGAGCTCCCATGCCCCAAATCCGCTGGGGCAGAGATTTGAAGCCCCCAGGCTGTCCCACAGCGAGGACCAGCATCCCCCAGCCTCGTGTGACCTGTGCAGGGGGGATCAGCTGTCGGAGCGGGGCCGGGACAGCAAAGCACAGCACAGCCCGGTCCCGCCTGAGTCCTCCCTCCCCTGCAGCGAAACACCAGTCTGCTTTCCAGCCCGTCTCGTTCCCGGCCACCGCAGCTCCGTTTGTTCCCGTGCCAGCGCCTGGCACCGAGGTGCCGTGCCGGGCTGCCGGGGGGACATCTGGGGACTGGTGCTGGCCGTGGGCTGCCAGAGGGGCTGACGGTCACAGCCTGCTGGGCGGCTGGATGTGCCCCCCACAGATGTTGAGGGTGCGGGTCCTTCACCCAGGTGAGGTCTGGAATGGGAAAAAATTCCCCTGGGGATGTGCCAGGATCACCGACTGGGGCAGGAGCCCGCCGATCAGCCCCTGGCTCCCTGGCACGCTGTCACCGCCCCAGCGCCCACCTCCCGGGTCACCCTGCCCGTGCCCCTGCAGACCCCAGCCCCGCAGAGCCCCCAGCTGGAGCCCCTCTTCCCCCAGCCCCTCCATCCTTCCCGGTCCCTCCCGGGGGCTTTGCTTGCAGCTGGCGTGGCCAGGGGGCAAGTCTGCAGCGGTGATGAGATGCACCTCATTATCCCTCATTAAGAGGGCAGGGCGGCTGTCGGAGCCAGGAACTGGTTCGTGCTCCCTGGGGCCAACCTCGTCACGCTGGCAGAGATCCCCGGTGTCCCAGGAGACCCGGGTTCCTGACGTCAGGCGGCCCCGGCTCCCCTGCGGCCATCACCACCCCCACAGCCAGGGCGGCCAGTGCCTCCCCGAGGGTCACCCGAGCACCCCAGCACCTCCGGGAGGAGCACAGCAGATGTGTGGGTTCCCCTCCGAAGGTTTTTCCCACGCACAGGTGAAGCAGCTCGGCTCTGGGGGGTGCTGAGCCCTGGAAGCTTGGGGGGGAGTGGTTTTGCTCCCAGGGCTGCTCTGGTGAGCTGGGGTGGCTGTGGGCAATTTCAGCTCAGCACCCAGCTCAAGCTCCATCCTCACAGCCCAAGGGGGAGCCAAGGGATGCCAAACCCTCTGCCCAAGGTGCCAGCTCTGCTGCTTACCGTGCTCCCTGCCTTTCTGGACTTCAGCCACCAAGGGAAGGTGATGGGACTGCCCACTGTCCCCACGCTCATCCCACCCCCACAGAGCCCTCAGGGCAGGTTAAGGGGGCTCAGTCCTGCCCTGAGGTGACATCCCCACAAAGCACGGTGGCACTGTGACATCCCCTGCCACAAGGGCCACCGGCCATGGGGCTCAGAGGCTCCAGTCCAACCCTTTAAGTGGTGTCATCATCACCAGGCTCCAGGGTCCTTGGCCACGAGCCGACCCCCTGGTTCATCTCTTTGGGGGCAGGTTTGGGCCCCACAGCCCCTTTCCCAAGGCTGGCAGCCCCCCGAGGGGTGTGAACTGCTGGACACAGCGTGGGTCTGCTGCCTCTAAAGGGAGTGGGACCCCCCCGGGCCGGGGCCCTGCCATGCTCAGTGACCAGCAGAGGGTAGCAGATGGTCGGAGCTGTCCCACTGCAGGGCAGGGGATGTCCAAAACCTGCATCTTATCTCTCCCAACCTGCCTCCAGAGCAGAGGGGCTCCCACTCCTCCCCTCTCTGACAGAACCTCTGCATCTGTGGGCAGAAGGGACTAAAGACTGACTTCTTGTGGCTTTATTGACTAACCAGCATTGCTTGGGCATGATCCACTCCGTGGCACATCCAGCTGAGATGCTGCAGCAGCACAACATCCCCCAGATGCTCCCAGAGAAGGCCAGCAGCTTCCTGACCCCCCCAAGCCTCCATGGGGAAGCAGGGCCTCTGCCAAGGGAGGGAACCAAGTTTCTGTCTCCACACTGAGGGTGGTAGATGAGCCCTCTGTGCTGCAGCTCCTGACCCCACCACATCCCTGAACCTGGGCTGCTGCTCCTCGTGCCAAATGCCACCATCAAGCCCAACCACACACCCCAGAGCAAACAGACCTACTAGATTCTGGGTCCCAGGGCTGGGAAACCTGGAGGGGGGTGGACTTTTGGAGGTGGTAAAGAGCTTATTCCCCACCTCAGCTCCAAAAACATGGGTGTTCAAAAACACGAGGGTCCGATGAACAGGAGAAAGGGCTTAAGTTGATAAAGGAGCTCAAGTCCTGCCCCACCAAAGGATTTCTACCTCTGTTGTGCTTCTCAGGAACACTACCCATCTCATTTGCTCAACCACAGTGTTTATAACTTTAAAAAAAAAAACAGAACTAAACTCCCTGTGGAGTTCCTGACTCTGAGCCGTGGGTCTGTCACACCGGTCCAACAAGAGAATCACAGAAAGGGAGTAAAGAGTTTGGGTGAAAACGAATTAGACCTGGGCAGCTGCCAAACTGGAGGCTTAATGATCCCCAAGCTGCTAAAAATCCAGGGAGTAGGTGAAAAGCTGTTAATTATTTGGCACTGCTGGGCACGCCTGTTTGGAGAGGTGCCACCTAAAAGCACCGATAGGGGTTTTGATAGGGTGAGCACACATTGTGCTACTGACACACCCCAGAAGGGCTGCCCTGGGCCTCCCAGCATCAACCACTGCTTTTGGAATAGTTATCCCCATCCCTGGAGGTGTTGAAGGTCAGGCTGGACAGGGCTTGGAGCAACTTGGTCTAGTGGAAGGTGTCCCTGCCCATGGCAGGGGTTGGAACGACAAAGGCTTTAATGTCTCCTCCAATCCAAACCACTGTGTGATGATCCACAGTGGGAGCAGGGGGAGAGCCCAGCTGAGCCGACCTGCAGAGCTCAGCACCGACACATTCCTGCCAAACCAAACCACGAGTGCCAACTCTGCCCCTCCTCCCTTCACCTCCAGCTCTGGCCACCCAGCGCACCTCCTCAGCCCCAGACAGGGAATGAACTCCCTGGCAAGGCCAGGCCTGGGTCAGCTTTGATGTTCTGGCCGTTTATTGCTTGCTCAGTGGCGCGGCACGGTGCGGCTGAGCGCGCATCCCGGCAGGACGGGCACACGGCCCGGGATGGGACACGCGGAGCAGAACGTTTCGGGCACGAGGGCCTCGCTGAGGTGGGGGTGAGCAGCCCCCCCAGCAGCCCCTGCCCTGGCAGGACCCGGTGGGGACAGTGCTGGGCCCGCCCTGGCTCTGGGGCGCGCTGGGTCGGGGCGGGGAGGGAGGGGCTCGTGCTGCGAAGCAGCAGCAGCGGGTGGCTCTGGATGACGGTGAGGATGCTCATGGAGGGCGTGGGGAGGGTCTGGCAGCACAGGCTGGTCTGGACAAGCCCTGAGCGAGCGCAGAGCCCGGCTCCTGGTGCCTCACTGCGAGTGGACGAGCGCCCCGGCGCCCTGCCCGAAGCCAAAGCCCTTGGGGCCAAAGTTCTTGGCGTAACAACCTGCAGAGGACAGAAGGGAGAGACAGGTGAGGCTGGCCCTCCTCCCACAGCAGGCACTGCGTAAACAGGACAGGGTTTGCCATATTTGCTGGGCAAACAGGGAGGCCACAGGCCCAGCAGGAAATTCCCTGGCTCCAAGGCCGGTCGGCACAGCCGGTCCCCACATGCAGCTCCCCAACTTCCAGCCCATCCTGGGTCCCTGCACAGGGATTTCCACCGCCTGCCACTGCCCTTCAGAGCCCCAGGACAAGCCAGCGAGGAAGGTGGGACTCACCTTTACAGTAGATCTCCCCATCTTTGTCTGCCAGCGTGGTGGACTCCAGGCTCTTGCCACATTTGGCACAGCGGAAGCAGGACTTGTGCCAGGACTGTGGGACAGGAGCAGAGCCTGGTCAGACAACACCCAGGGACAGGGGCAGCAGGCTTTGGCTACCAGTGGGCTCGCTTCTCTATTTCTGACCCAAAAGTTGCTGGCAAAGAGCTCTCAACGGGATAAAAGCTTTAGTCTGGAAAGCTCTGACCTCCCAGCCCAAGAGTGAAGATACAGAGAGGAAACACCAGGGGCGGTCACTGCTCCTGTGTTGATCTGGTTTTGGAGACCTTTCGCTCCCACTCACAGAAGTAATTTGTACAATAATTGGTACAATCATTTTTAAGGAGCAATCATCCCCTCTTTGGGGATTGTCCTCCTCAACCAGCATGGTAATTCCCCCCCTAGTTATCCAGCTGAGACCCACGTTAGCCTGGGGGTGGCAGCAGGGTTGGGAAACCTGCCCCCCACAGAACCACAGCTCCAAGGAAGGCAGCAAACGGACAGGAAGAATGCAAAAAACCAGCCAGTGTTTAAAAATAACCCCCCCCACACACAGTTCCAGCAGTCCCCTGGAGATAAATGAGCTCACAGCCTTCAGGCAGACCTTGAGTAGCCAGAGCTGCTCATGGAGGAATTTAAATAAACACTTTGGAAAACACGAAACCTTTTTTG